AAATGAAAAGGAAATGACTTGTTCAAGGTCACAGTGTCAGCTAGTGGCAGCACTATGATCAGTAGTAGCCTTTGTGTCCTGTCTCCAGCCCTATGTGGCCCCTATATTTACATCATAGTGGCTTTCAGAGGTGTAGTCAGGGAGACCAACAGTCTGAGGAACCTGTAGGTTACTCAGTCCATGGGAGAAAGAACGTCAATCACTTCCTTGATAATATGGAGGAAAAATTGAGTGTTAAAGAATTCAACTGGAGAAAAAAGTACAGGAGAAAAAATATTTCTAAAATATTATTCTCTGTCTACACAAAAAAGAAATGTTTAACTTGCGCAATCTTGCTTGACATCATTAGGTTGTCAGCTTCTTGAAAGATGGTCAAGAACAATACTCACCTTTGAGAGTGCCTATACTTTGGGTAAATGATCTTATCTCAAAAACATATTAAGAAGTTTAGTCAGCAGATCATGCTTTACAACACCAGATTAAAAGAGAAATGAGTGAATGAAATCTCGGCTCTGATAATTGCTGGAAAACTTAATGCTTCAAGAGCCATTCACACCCTTGATGCTTTCTTTATGCCTTCTCCTGAGCAGGTGTGGAAAACTTGAGAGATGTCTGCGTTCAGACTCCCAGCTTCTCCAAGATCTCATTATGTGAATTTAGCTTTGGATAAAATAAGAAAATTAGCTATGCCCCCTCTTAACCACCACCCTCCCACTTAACTGGGTCTGGTGCCACTGGGTTTGCCTGGGCTGTGATTTAGTCATACCTTGTTTTCAGAGATGCCATGGACACCACCAGCTGTTACCTGTCTAGCATCAACTGCCATCTGAGGCACAAATATTATGGACTTTTTGTCTTAATGTCATCATGGATGATGAGCACTTATCCTTTCACTGATAATTAATTCTGTCTTTGTTGTTTTTGGCCAGGGAGTTCTTTTCTCTCCCATGAAGTTGTTTAAGAACTTCCCTGACCATTTATTCTCCCAACAGTCAATACTTCCAATGTATTTTTCAGTTGGTTGGTGTTGACAAAGTCAACTTATATTAAAAATGTTGACTCTTGAAACAGGTGGGACCAAGAATACTTCCAGATTGCAGAATTGATGAACTCCCTTTTACTGCAGATTGTTACTCCCTTTCTTATTTGACCTGAATAGGGGTAACCTATGGAAATATTTGGGGATAACCAGGAAGTTTGTCAAATATTTTAGGGAATGGCATTTCTACATTTTGAGGAAGAAGAGTAACGTCCTTTTTAGCATGCTTTTATTATTTCAAGCCCAAGACAGTTATCTGTTATTTCTAATACTGTGCCACAACTTAGAGAATCATGCATGGGTCCATGCTCTGGACTTCATGCTGTGATGAGTATCAGCATTCAGGCTTATTTTTCTATGGTATGAAGTATACTAAGTAAGACACAGGCAGGAAAAAATTTGCCATCAATAGAGAAATTTGAACCATGGTTGAATTCAATGGTTTAACCATGAATGAATTGAACAAATTATGGTTGAACCAATAATGAATTTAGTGTGAGTGACTTGTCAAACATACCAAAAGGTAATCTGGAGTTTGTTTTTTTTTATACACTTAGAATGAAAACATATATCCCATGGAAATGTATGAACTTTGACATGATACATCATCATGGATCTTTTGAAGATACCCAAGCTACCCTAGATGACTACAAAATTTCAGCTCTGCCCAAACCACATATTAAACTCATAGGACTCCAAGACCCATCTTTTACCTATGGATTCATACAGTTTTCAAATTTTATATTAACTGAACTAAAGAAGAGCTATTAGAAAGATTGGAGAGGCCTACTCAAATATCATTTAATAAATACAATTTTTATTTGATGTAGAATTAAGACTTCAACTAGGGTGAACCAAAGGCAGTGATAAATGACAGATAAAAATATATATCTTTTTTGGATTGTATATCTTTGTGAATTGATTGATTAACTGACACACTGTATCATCCAGTAAATATTAATAGAATTCTTACCAAGTTTGATATATTATATCCATTGGTAACTAAAACATAGAGTTCATACTCATAAAATACACAATCTAGTGGCCTTTACCTAGTACTTGTAGTAACAGTGTAAAAATACATATCCATGAGAGACCTACATGATTTTTTTACCATACTTTTAGGTAAAAATAAAATTATCTTAGTATGAGCCCAGAAATCACTCCAATGCTTTACATCAAGCACTTGCTTTGTTTTAAAGGTAAAAAAAAATACATGCCAACTATTTAATAAATAATATTTTAATTTTTGTGTGTTGACATTTATATCATTGCCATTATAGTATAAGAAGACACTTATTTTGAGGGTAGGATTATATAAAATATATTGTGATGTTTATTTTTTTATTTTAAAAATAATCATGAATATCTAAATATATTTTCACGTCAGTCAGAGGAAAATTCCTGAGGATTCTCTATGGATTTCTGGTCCCATCCTTTTTTTCTTAATCCTCTCCATGTAATATTATTTACACAGAATACCTTAGTTAAGAGTCAGCCTGATATAGCTATTTGATTTCATGATCGCTGACTGATTTATATGGTTTCCAAACACTTTCAAGGTTGGGTATTTTTGTAAATAGGATCCTGTGGCTTGTGTTTGCTGTAGAAGTTGATGTAGTGCAACGGGGCAAACCAAAAGTAATGACAAATGAGGGAAGGGAACTAGTCAGGTAATTCCGCCTCATTGATCTCTCTGGGGATTTCTCTGAGGTGAAAAATTTCTCTGTAAACCTTCCAACAAAGTCCTGCAGGTCAAGCAAACACATCTGACAATAAGCTACTGTAAGTCTTCTTGACTTATTGAGAAAAAGTGACCAGGTGATAAAATACATTGCATTGCTTCACATATTTCCTTGCCTCATTTTTCCTGTTCTTTCTCACCTTTATATCTCTAGGCTGGCTTCTTCTATATAAAGTACCATTACTTTAATACTTGCCTCAGGCTCTGCTTTATAGAAACTTGGTTAAAGCCAGAAGCACTTCTAGAAAACAAGATTTTAAAGTGGTATTGCCCACTTGGCCTGAAGCAGTAAGACCTATTGCTACGCATTGTAGTAAGATGCTATGCATTGCAATCACTTAAGTTCCCCTCACCCCAACCAGCCCTGTGGATAACAGGTACTTCAGTTGAAGGGCAAGGCATTAGGAGACCAAGAAGTTGTGGCTCTTAGTTGGTATAGGAATAAGATTTTTTATTTATTTTTGTTTTTATTTGTTTATAAAAACTGTAAAGTGAGGTGACTGCTTTTGATAGCATTAGATATTTAGCTAAAAAAATGAAATATGAAGGAGAGTCAATTTCAACTTAAGGAAGAATATGAAAACCAGAAGATTTCTATCAGAGATTTAAATGTCAGTTTTCTCTCCTGAAATCTTAGGACACAGCTGTGATGAAAATTAGGCACAGGAATTGATTATGAAGGTGTCTGAGTTACAAAGGAGGTACAGGCATCACCTCAGTAAGTCTGCTAGGCCAAAATCAGGACCTTGATCAAAAATGAATAGAATCATGAGACCTGGGATGGTAACATTTGAGTAAACAGGTATGAGAAACTTGAAACCCTAATGCTCTTGAAACTTTCTGGCCAGTAAAAGCAGCAAAAGCACCTTTTCCAGAGGAAAATAACCTCCCCTTCCTTAGAGACCCTGCTATTATTTCACCTGAGGCAGGTGCCTCATAAGATGACTCTATTTATGACCCCTAACATCCCTCATTCCCTCTTAAATGCTAATCAGAGTTAAGTCTCAGTATAGTAGCCCTGACAGAAAAGTACAAGCCTAGCTCTGTAGAAAACAAATCCTTAAGCCAAAGCAATTCCAGGATTTGTTTAATGTGTATCAGGAAGAATAGGGGGAGTAGTTATTGGAATGCATTGGTCCCTGTGTTGCACATTTAATGCCACTAGAGAGCACCCAATGGCAGCATCCTCTTGCCTTGCAGGAGGACAGAATGACCAAAGCTGAGAATGCCAGCCATAGTCTTTCTTCAGTATCCCAGTGCTCCTGCAGTTAATAGATGGGCCATGGTGGCAGATACATAGGTTATGCAAGAGCTCAACCATATAAACTTCCCCTCACCAAAGCTGATCTAACAATTGCCACTGCTAAATGCAAATTTGCCAGCAGCAAAGACCAAGGAGCAATTTTTCAAGGATGCCAAGCAACCACCTAGTAGCAGATAACAACATCAAAATCCTGTACTTTGGAGGAGGATATGATTTAGTGGGATTGACACATAATCTCTAGATACTGGTGTGGGCTCCCTTCTAATAGAACCTCTCCCATCAGTACCATCTGAAAGCTTATAAAAAGTCATCCATTGATGTGGGTCCAACAAAACATTGCCTCTGATCAAGGGACCCATTTTATAGCAATGGAAGTGTGATAATTGGCTTATGATTATGAGTTTATAGTCTTACTATATACCTTATCACCTAGGAACAGCCAGCCTGATAAAAAAATGGGATGGACTGTGAAGATTCAGCTAAGGCACTGGCAGTCTGACAAGGCTTTCCGGGTAGGATATTGTCCTTCAAGATGTGGCTTACGTCTTTGGTGGTATTTTGTCCTGCTTAACTAAAGTGCACTGCTCTGGAAAATAAGGAATGGAAGTGAAAGTGACCATCCTAACTTTCATGGTCAATGATCTACTTGTGGAATCTGGGCTTCCATTACAGAATGTGCAGAACTTAGTTCTGTGGTGAGGGCAAACTCGTTTCCAGGGAGTAGAATTCCACTAAACTGGATGCTCTAACTACCACCAAAACACTTCGGGCTCCTCATATATCAGGCTGAGAAGAGCATTACTGTACTGGCTGTGGTAATTTATCCTGTCACTGTAAGGCAGAGGGGTAACTACTACACTAAAGGGGCAAGTGTAGAATATTCAAGAACCACTGGAGTGTCTCTTTATACTTTCATGCCTCCTAAAGCCTATGCTCAACTGCAACAAACATACCTGACGTCGTAGGGCAGAGCAACTAAGGACTCAGATCTCTTAGGGATTAAAGTCTGGGTCACCCCACTAAGTAAACAACACCAACCAGGTAACACTCTGGATAAGGGTGAAAGAATCTAGATGGATAGTTGACGAAGGAATTACTGAGTATTAATTTTGCCCTCTACAAAAACTATAGCAGTAGACTGTAGCTTGTTTCACAAACTCACTCTAGTCTTCCAGGATAGTACAGCTTACCGCCATGTTGAATGTGAATCATTGGACCAGCATCTGTACTCTCAGAGAAGCAGTGAGAACAACTTCATTTTTTAAAAATGGTGCTATATTGTACTTTTGGAGCTTCTTATGACAAGAGAGAACAAATAGATCTGATTGGTGCAAGAGGTTGTCAGTATTCAAACTAAACCATCTTTTGTAGCTTAGCATTTTCCTGGACTTACCAGTCCCCATTTGAACTTCATCCATCTATTCAGGTGGTTTCATTGCTTACACTGTTACTTTGTGGATTCATCTCAGATGCTCACAACAAGCTCACAGAAGGACTGGTTACAAGCAAACATAGAACCTAAGTCTACTTGATTAGCTTGTACTAATAATCAGTACCCTAATTCAACCCACTACTTCATAAATATGTAGCCTTGGCCTTAAAGGAGACATAGAAATAAAACAGCACAATAGGAAAAATAACACAGAACACTGATTTAGCTTGTGTTGTATCACTAGACATTATATTAATCAATTAATATGTGCTGGACATAGAATTCTATAAAATGGCACAGTTTTTACACACAAGAAAGTAACTCTTGCAAAAGTGATAAGAAAAATAATGGCAATATAAGCTCACAAGATTTTCAGTCTCTTACAGAGTTGAGGACAAAGTATTTTAGAATTTGTAAAATTTAGGGGAGTTGAGCCCAGCCACTTTAGATAGCAGAGTCTTTGTCTGGGTTGAGGAGACTCAGTTGTGAATCCTGACTAGCACCAATTGCTGGTACCCATCTCAGAGGATTTCAGGTTTCATTGTGCAGGCACCAGCATGGAGCATTCATTGTTCCAGCTATGGCTGACATGAAACTCAACACAAAGACAAAAATTGTATGAGTAAGTCTGGCACCAAGTGTATCTTTCATAAAGATAAGAAAAGTAATTTTGACTACTATTTCTTCATAGAGTTTTCCAGTTTTAGTTTGATTTATGAACTCATTTCAGTTTACTTTTTTTCTCCCCATCTCCTTTTTCATCATTATGCACATTAGACAAAAAGATGTTACTGGTCAGCCTTCCCTTGCCCATCTAACTCTTCCGGGGAATAAAAGAATCTCACAGAACTGGAGGAGAATGAAGTAAAAGGTAAAAATCTTTCCATGGCTGATTTAGGAACCTTATAGAGTGCAAGAAAGCTACCAGGATATTGGCCCCTGCTTTAAAGCCACGTGGCTGCCAGTGAAGCACTAGGTATCTGTTCAGGTTTACCACATCTGTGGGAGGCACAAGTCTAAGGGTGACCCAGTAATCCTCATCCTGTGTGATACCCTTTCCCTTGCATGTGGGTAGAACCTGTGGATGTGATGAGTTATCATTTCCACGATTATGCCATTTTTATATATGGCAAAAAGAAATGATCTGTGTGGTCTAATACAATAGCATGAGCCCTTTGGAAGCAGAGGGATTTCTCTGGCTTGTATCAAGAGACACCAGAGAGATTCTAAGCCTGAGAAAGATTTGATATACTATTACTGACTTGAGGGGGCATGTGATGAGAAATGCTTTCTAGAAGCTGAGCAAAGCCAGCAAGAAAATGAGACTTTGGGCCTACAACTGCAAGGAATTGAATTCCACTAGTAACAGGAATGAGCTTGAAAGAAGTCCCTGAGCTCCATATAAGAATGGCCAACTAATGCTATTATTTTAGCTTGAGCAGAAAACTTAGCCATATAGGTTTGAGTAGTATTGAGGGCAAGAGTAGTGTGGGAAATGTAGAAGCCAAAGAACTTATGGCACATGGACATGAACTAAAGGGGGGGGGGATGTGGGTGGGAGGGGGTGTGCAGGGCGGAGGAGAATGAAGGAGGGAAATGGGACAACTGTAATGCCATAATCAATAAAATATATTTAAAAATTAAAAAAGAAAACCTAGCCATATAGTACTAGATTTTTGCCATAACAGCTCTAAGATAATGAATGAATGTTCTGTTAAGTTGCTAAATATGAGGGATTTTTTCAGCAGTAGAAAATGGATGCAATAGCAAAGGCTGGAAATAGTTTGAACTACAGATTTACAGTCAAATATGGTTCATCCTGAGCATGATTTCTTACGTGCTGGATGACTTTGGGCTTAACTTCTCCAAATGTTTATTTCCTCATCCATAATAGGGATAGAATAATATCCACCTAACTTCTAGAATTTTTGCCACAATTAAATGAGATATAATTCATACAATGCCTACTATACAATAAATATTATTTCCCATGCTCCAATAAGACTGAACATGACAATCAATTTAGAAGTGATAGAAACAGACCACGATGGATACTATGACAGGAATTGTACCATAGACATCTCTGGAAGGGGAACAGGTTGGACCTTAGGAGAAGAACATTCGGGTCCCTATTAGGATAGCATATCACATTCTCCATAGTTTGGAACAAGACTAGAACCCAAGAATTGTAGGGTCATTGCTAAAATTTAGTGACTCGCAGCCAGGCGTAATAGAGTACCACATATCATGATCTATATGTGGCTGAGAAATCTACAGATTGGCAATGGTGCCAGCCTGCACCTCTGGGGAAAAAATCTTTTCATTCACTCATTCATTCATTCACTCAGCAAATATTAATGGAACACCTGTATGCATGGTAATTGTTCAAAAATAATAGATTATAGTAGTGAACAAAACGGGTGAACATTTTTGCCCTGTGGAAATAATACTTTAGTGGGGAAAGGCAGTCAATAGACAAAACAGTTTGATGGTGATAAGTGCTAAGGAGAAAAATAACTCCAGAAAGAGGGATAAGACATTTAAGAAAAGAGCTGCTTCCCCACCACAGTTGTAAATAGATAGTTAATACATCACAAAGGAGGGATCATGGAACAGACCCAAGCAGAGAGCCAGATGAATATTTAGGGAAAATATTCTCTAAGAAAAGGGGTCCTGGTTTAAAAGGTTTGCATAATCTGGTGCCTGCTGAGAAAAATAGTAGTATCAGAACCATTCCCCTCACAGTGCCTGGGCAACATTTACAGATTCACTGAAGTAGGTGTTTAAGCAACACCTTACTTACCCCAAGTTGAAATAGAGACCAGCAAAGGACTGGGTTTAATAATATCTCAGGAGTCCATTTAGCTCAGTATGACCATTACCAGAGTTTTATTAATGCTTGTGATGTGGCAGGTCTTGACATTGGTTCTACCAACTCCTCCATGGATAGGAGAGAGGGTCTCCTGTCCTTAAGGAAAACACACTTCTGAAAGAAGAGACAAGACAGACATTTAAAAAGTAAATTGTGATGATTGTGATGAAATAAAGAAACAAGGATGAGCCCAGAACAGAGACTGGCAGGGCAAGGAGCTGCTTTACACAGGGCGAAAGACGAGAAGCTCTGAGCGGATAACATTGAAGCTGATTCCACAGTGACAGAGTGGAGCTGGCACCTGTGCAAAGGTGTGAGGCACATGGTGCTTGGGAAAAGTGTGGGGTTCTTAGAGTTTTCCTCAAGGCCTGACAAATGGATTTGAGTGGATCTAAAACGATCTCCAAGCAGCACTATTCATAGTAGCCCAGAGGTGGAAACAACTCAAATGTTCATCAGCTGATACATGGACAAACAATATGTTCAATGCCCATATGATGGACTATAACTCAGCCATATAAAGGAATGAAGTACTATAAAGGAATGTGGTACGTGCTACTGTGTACACAAATGTTGAAAACCTGATGTTCATTGAAAGTCACTGATCACAATATTGCATGATTCCATTTATATGAAAAGTTCAGAACAGGGAAATCTATAGAGACAGAGAGGAAATTAGTGATACCCAGGGGTGGGAGAATTGGGAAGTGACTACTAGTGGATATGGGGGCTCCATTCCAGGCAAAGGAAGTTTCTAGAAGTAGACAGTGGTGATGGTTGCACAACATCATGAAGGCACTTAATGCCACTGAATGGTACATTTCAAAATGGTTAAAGTAGTAATGTTATGTTATATATACTTTACCACAATAAAAACATATGAAAGAAATTATCTCCCAGACAGACATGACTACAACAACCATTGAACTCTGCGATGTACCAAACTTCTTATACTTCAAACCACACACACTTGAAAGGCAGACCATGGCTAACTTTTCTTTCCCTTCCAAACCACTTCCTCTTTCTTGTGCCTTTGAAACTACAAAAAAACCTGGTATGGTCTTCCCCCTCCCTGCCCTTTCGCTCATGAAAACACATGTGAACATGGTAAAACTGTACCACCCTAGAATTGCACCACACATTGTGAAAGCCAGAGAAAAGTGAACGTTTAGCAGTTGCTTATGCTTTATGACTTCTGTGGGCACCCAGGAGCCTCGCCGTGGTCTCACTCATTTTGCTTTTTATTGAACTGATAGACTGTTTTAAGTGTGTGCTTCTAATTCTTAATTACATGGTCAACATCTTTCCTAACTGGTGCCCTGAATATTTAACCCGGATGACTAAACCATTTCTGGTTTCCTACTTTTATTTTCCAGTGTGTGTCAGAAAGCATGCTGGCAGGAGATCAAACACCCAGGTTTAAAGCTTTGAAGTTGATGTCATGGTAGGTGTTGTAGAGGCAAAAAGACACTAACACAGGAGCAAGCAAGAACATTAACCCTTTAGAGACTGGATAAGTATGTGTCTCATTGATTCACATGTTCCAGGGCACCAGCTCTATCCTTTTATGCATTAGCATGGGGCTGTGGAGGAAGCATAGATTTTGGAGTTGGAGGCTACTTTCAAATTCCATTTCATTTACTCAGCTAAAATTGGACAGGGGGACAAAAAACTAAATTTGCTGAATAGTTTCTTCATCTATAATATGGGGAGGGTTGTTAAAAAAAGCTAACAGTATATATCACAAGCAGCTAGCACAGCATAATTCACAGAAAATAATAAAAGGAAATTAATATTGAACATAGAAATAATAAAAAAAACCTCTCCAGAAAAAAAAAGTGAGTCAATGTTTGAAACGGTGACTCACCAGCATAGAGCAGACAAGGACCAGC